AAACATCCACTCATCCATTTTCACCCAAATAACTAAAGTTAGGTCAATCCTGCTAAACTACGTATAAAATCATATAATCTGTTTTGACCTTGTGTTGCCTGAACACAAGGTAGAGACCAAGCTAGCTCATGCTGCTGTTATTCCACATAAGCCAGCTGAAAACAGCTGTTGAATGTTATGGGTTTGCCCAGAAAGCCAGGGAAGTCAATAAAAAGGCAGAAACTTGAGGTTTACTTTTTTGTTATTATTATAAAGCAAAATATTAGTGTAATTAATATATGGAGAAAATATATCCATGTTGATTTGTCTAATAGCTCACAAAAGTTTATAACCTTCTTCAGTAAGATGGGGAAGGAGGACTGGGAAGCTCTCTGCTTTATTGCAGGATCACAGAATGGTTAAGGTTTGGCTGAACTTGATAAATCAACTAGTCAGAGTAGGGGGAGAGCCTCTTTCTGTGAATAAAGACCTAGGCCTGTGTATAATTAAGAAATTCTCAAGGGTTCAGTAGGACAAGTCTCTCTCTACCAGAATTGCAGCTGAGTCTGTGGCCTTTTGTTTTTTTATTTTTTTTTCCCCCGCTCCATGTGAATTATGGAAAAAACCTGTGCCGAGAGGAGGGGCCATTCCCTTCTTCAGCCTTAAAATGATCTTTGGCTAGTCTTGAGCTCCACTCTTCCATGTGCCATTTGCTTAGCAGCAAAATTAAGAGTCTTAATTTTACTACAGTTGTAAGAAATAATTGCACTGAGATGTCAGAATGGAATCGCTCTCTCTTTTCTTCTTGCTCTGTAGTTCTAAAAAAGAACCTTGACTTTGTGAGTGCTTGAAGTTTCCTAGAAGACACGAGTCTGATAAGAGGGAATACTAGAGAAAAATAATCAGTGGTAAAACTGGATAGAACTGCTGAGCTTTCACTTGTCCCCCTTCACCCAGGACAGCTCCGAAGACGCTTTATCCTTCGTCTCCCGCTTCCGTGGCATGTGAATGCCATCACAGTGACACTGCTTTGATCTATTATTTATTTAAAGAATATTTTTACACAAGAGAGTTGGAATTATGCCTTTTATATTGAATTAAATCTCATAGCCTCAGTAGCAATCAACTTGCAAAACTGTATTAAAATAAAAAAAAATCCAATGCACCCGTCTTTTACTGACAAGTTGATACTAAATTCAGGATATTCAAATAAACTACTCTGTGCTTATATTGATTTCTAAAATAAGGAGGGTGCAAAAAAAGCTGGTTGTAATAGTTTTGTTTTAATTTTATTTTCAGGGGCCTCATGACCTGCAGAGTGAGAACTAAATGCTGTTTTCATGAGAACAGGAGCAGACAGTTGGGTTTCTGTGGAAATGCAGATTAAAACAGGGCTGCCTCCGAACGTCCTTAATTCAGAGCGTCTTGCTGAGCTCGCCTGCTTGACCAGGGAATGTTCCCTGCCTCGAAGGAGGTTCCTGCCCCGTGGGGTAGTTTGGAGCTCACCCAATGTGCTGTCCCTGCTGCGAGGACGGGCTCGGCCGTGGCCCTGGTGCGGGAAGGGCGCGAGTCCCTTTCCCGTGTGGGCCCGGGGCCCAAATCCCTTCGGGTTGGCTGGCACGGGAAGCGGCGGCCGACGTGTGCGAGTGCAGCGAGCAGTGCAGGGCACCCGCTGCCTTTCAGTGTCCCAGGAAAACCCCCAGAAAACCAATCCCAAAGCAGCTGCCCCGCTGGAGGTGACGAGCACTGCCCTCGAAGGGGTAGATTCATATCTGCTGTCACCTAAACAGAGATCCCTTTGAGTTGAGGTGCTTGGTATTGATTGGATGGAATTGGGAAGCTTGGGCTGTATCTACCACCATCTGCAAATGTACTTTGTCTTTTCCAATACTGGCATTCCTACTTCTACTGATCTGGTGGGAAGAAAATAGTTCTTGTAAATGGAAAAAATATAATGTCTTGGTAGACAGAAATGACCAGGACACTTATTCTCTTAAATAGCTCCCTGAGAGTGCTTGGCTGTAATTACGTTTGCAGTGTGAGTAATAAGTGACAGGAGTGCAGTGTGCTGTGTTGGAAAGGACCCGACAGCGTCATCGCTCACAAGGAGCAGGGGCTCCGCTCGCCTTCCTGGAGCCGGATCACCTGCCATGTCGGGAGCGCGGGAGAGGGAGCGCTGACCGGAGGGGCGCCGTGGGGAACCTGCAGGAATGACACCGGTTTGGGCTTCACATAGCTGCAGGCTACAGCAGCCTCTCATCTGCAAATCTGCTTTGTTTGGAAGTGAAGTAAGGGATGAATGTCTTTAACAACTCTGGTCTCTAGCACAATATGGAAATTTCAATGTCAAGAGCGTTAATGAGCAGCCTCTCTGCTAGTCCAGCTGCAGATCAGAGCAAGAGCTCCTACCTGCTAAGGAGAGGGAGAGGGGAGGCGGATCACTGATAGCGGTGGGAATGGGACAGCTGGGAGAGCTCTGCTCAGTGGCTTGTCACGAGAATTCCAAGAGGCAAAAGACAAACGGCCGGAGCAGGGAACCCCAGGCAAGTCCAGGGTTAGTGCGGGCAGCTCCAGGGCGCAGGGCCGCCGTTCCCGGGCCTGCAAATCCGGCTCCTCAGGGAGCGGAGCGCCCGCCACCGCGCCGGAATGAGAGAGGCTTGAGCCGTTTGGGACTGCTAAACCATGCGTTTGGTAAACGGCGTGTAAAAATGACTCTTAAGTGTTAGTTTTCATAACCTATTACAGTCAGCAGGGTTTCTCTGAAGGAATATTCCATTTCTATAATCTTTGGGAATTCTCTTGCTTGGAGCATTTGAATTCTTCCCCTTGACTTCATAGCGCTTTTTGACCAAGTGGGTTTTGCCTTTGAAGTCCTGCAAGTTCTGATCCAAATGTATTAAATAATTTTGACTGCATGCAATAAAAACCCATGGATGCCATGTCCTTTCTTTTTTTCCGTGCAAAACTGCTGACGAGCCTGTTGTGGGAGCTTTTCCTGGTTTCAGTCTTGGGCCTTTGGTGAGAAAGACGTTTGGATATTGGTTTTCCTAGAAGCACGACAAATACTCCTTTGTTTTCTTTCTTGGATGTGTTCTTGACGTGTAGAAAAGAACATTTCTGCCATGTTTTAATGAGGATGAGGATGTCCTAGTACTTGTATTGCTCAGCTTTAAAGCTTCTAGTAGTATATTACAGAGCAGGTTAGAAATGCAGAAATGGCTCTCCGGCTTTTTGGGCTCGCTTTTGCTGTTGATTTATGGTGATTTGGCACCAGGGATGTCCTAGATAGAAGGTGACACCAGAGATGTCCTCGCTTCGCGTGCTCGAGGGCAGCAGGATGGGCTCCGTGCCCCCTGTGAGGAGGAGAGCGGGGCAGGGGCAGCAACGGGGACAACGAGCACCGGGGCATTCGGAAGCGTCTGGCTCCTACCTTCGGATAGAGCAGTTCCGAGGGCTTTCCCAGACGTGGGAAATGCTCTGTGCGGTTCCCCTGCGAAGGCCACCGAGGGAATCTCCCTTGTGTGGCATCGTCCTCCCTGTGCTCCGGGGATGCCGCTGGGTCCGTGTTAATGCAGGACGAGCTCCTTATGCTCGCTATGGGATTGCTCGCTATTGCAGGATTCCGTCCTCAGGAGCGTGGCTCGGGATGGAGCCGCTATCCAGCCTTCCTGCCGCTTTTCCACGGCAGAGCCGGAGTCAGCAGAGGCTGCAGATGCGGAGCCTCCCCCCTGCTTGGTGTGAACAGTGTCTGCTCCAGTTTCCAGCTTCATAAATTATACATTCGCGTGGATCTAGCTTTTTCAGTAAGTGTGGGGTTTGGGATTTTCTTTTTTCTCCCTTTTTTTTTTTTTTTTTCCTTGCCTGCTGCTCTGAATCCTAATGAGCACCCTGGGGAGCAGAGCGGGGTGGCCCTGAACCACATCCCCGCTCTGGTTTCCTCCCCCGCTTTCCGTCCTGGTGTGAAGGAGAGTTTAGAGAAGACGCCAGGCTGCCAGATAGTAACTTTCAAGCAGCGTTTGCCTGTCTGGCCGTGCTTCGGGGTTTAATGCTCCTTTCGGGTGCTGGCTGTCGTGGAGCTGCCGGTGGCCCTGGTGCGCCCGGCAGTGGCCCGGACCCGCTCGGCCGCGCTGCTCTCGGTGTCACCTCGTGGCTGCAGCTCCGCATCGGAGCGGTCCCGAGTCAGGGCTGGGCGTTCGGTCAGGCCGCGTTTCTCCAGGGAGGCTGCTTGCAAAGGACGCCTGCAATAACGGCTAGCGGGACCTGTGCGTGTTACAGAAGCATGAGAATCATGAGAAAATCACCTCGGATTTTCAGATTTGGTTCCTCTCCAGCGTTGGTGAACACTGGAAGTGAATTGAAAGGGAAGCTTCTAATTAGAGGCTTGAAGATGCCTTTTTTCCTCCTGCAGTGCATGGACAGGACTGGGGGGCCGCACACACATTGGTGAAATCCTGAGTCTTAAATCCTGTCTCCACAAGTCCTGCCAGTTCAGAGAGGTGCAGTGCATGTCCAGGATAACTAATGTGTCAGGGGTCCCAGAAAACAGATCAGGAGAAACACTGGCTGAACACTTGTGTTTTAATCAGTTGTGTAGCTTCTCCCCCCTTCCACCCCCAGCTCCCCTTGTTTCTTTTAGCTCTAGTATTAGAAAGGGGCACTCGATATCCTGAAACTAATCAGGATCCCTGAAGAGCACATTCCTTGTTATTAATAATGTATTCCAGTGAGGCATTGACTAATATAAGGTGCTTAGCAGAAGTGCAGTGATGTCTATTTCTGTGCCGCACAGTTGAAGAAAGCTGTGGAAATAATAAAAATAGTAATGTAAAATCTGAGTACTGGTGGGCTAAAAAGAGGAAAAATATAATTAGTCATGCCTTGCTTAACATAGTCTGGGCTAAAGAGAGGGTAATGAAGCTTAGTTGAAACTCTTCAAAAGTTATGGGAGTAGTAAAATTCCAACACACATAAAAATGGATCGTTTCCTGCTCTAAGCAAGCATTTCTGTCTCTTCTTTCTAGATGAAGACTGTTAGTGTTGCCTTAGTTTTGTGCCTCAATGTCGGCGTGGATCCTCCTGATGTGGTGAAGACGACTCCCTGTGCCCGCCTGGAGTGCTGGATAGGTAAGGCTGGACAAGCTCCAAGCTGGAGTTAACGCTGCCTGTACGAAGCCTGAAGTATCACGTAGATTGTAGTCTCGGTCACTTCGCTCCTAGGTTTAAAACTAGAGTAACTAAATGGAATCCCCAGCATCCAGCTTGGACGTGTCAAGCGGGAACTGCTGCCACAGGTCATCTTTCCAGCTTGACTCTAAATTGAGATCACGTGCAGATACGGAAGCTGCTACTTAGCTCTATTTTATTACTGTTGCACATTTATAAAATTCTATTTAAATCTGGAACAATTAAATCTTTAGAGTACTCTGATCTGCAAAGGTTTAAAATAACTCTGCATCGTATGATAGAAAAATAAGTGCCTGTAAAATACATGGACTTTACTGCGTGTTGAAAGCGCTGCTCCGTGGCTCTCCTGTTTTGGCAGCATGAATTTAGAAGATCTCAAATTCTTCCTAGAACATTTTGCCCCCCATTTTTGTTATTGAATCCTGTTTCTTGTATGCAAAGCACTGGTGTGTTAAAGTGCAGACAGTTTTGGGCTTCTCTTTTTCCATGAGGATGTTATTCTTGACATTGATGCAGACCTTGGTCATCCAGAGTGTAAATCTAGATTTTACAGAAAAGTAACTTGGAGGAGCTAAAAGGCCTGTATTAAAGCAAACAAAGACAGAATTAGAAGAAACTTTTTTGCCTCTTGTTGAGGTGAATGATCCAGCTGCTGCTAGAGTCACTCCTTTGTATTATATTTCGTAGATCCTCTCTCGATGGGTCCTCAGAAGGCTCTGGAAACCATCGGTGCCAACCTGCAGAAGCAGTATGAGAACTGGCAGCCCAGAGTGAGTACCTGTCCCCACGTGTCTCGCTGAGCTGGGGCCTGTGCCGCTGCTGGACAGACTTCCAGCCCAGGCTGAACCTGGGCCCGTGTCATGTGCTCAGTGGTCTTGCAGCATTTGTTGCCTCCTTAATCCATCTGTGTGAATAAATTCTTGCAAGCTGTCAAGCTTCATATCTTCTAGCTGATGTCTCTCTTGGCTAGCACTTTGCTGAAACACGTCTGTGGTATTCTTTGAAAACACTGTCAAACCATATTTAAAAATGTATATTCTTCTGTGATTATTGTATTGTATGCATTCCATGTCCCTCCTCTGTTTTCTAACTCAAATTTAATGGGAAAAAAAAAGATAATATATTCAGGGAAGTTGGAGCACAAATGCAGTTATTACAGATTCTTTACCTCTTGCCTGTATTTGATGCCTTCACCCACTTATTCTGGATTGGCTGACTAGAATTGAGTTTATGGTTCAGCAAAACCTAAAAGTTTTACCTAGAGAAAACAGTGTGTTTAGTGGTGGCATGTTTACATTGCTTAAACCTGTGGATAATTTAAATTCTAATTCAGTGGGAGAGATTTTTCCGTAAGTATTGCATTTTTACATTCTATCCATGTAAGAAAGACTTGTGTTTAAGTCTACATGGGATACATTTAAGGCAAGCTTATTTACTTTTGTGTTTTCCCTTTTGGTGCAGTGGCAGTTTACTCGTTTAATCTCTCTCCAGCAAACAAAAGATCTGGCAGAGAAAAATCAAATAGAGTGTGAAATCAAACAGGAGAGTAAAACATCTCGATGCAAAAGTGGAAACAACCCTTTTTCTGTGCTCTAGCGTGGAGCCCGTGTTGGTGAGGAATGAGGGCCAGGCGGCTGGCAGCAGCAGGCGCCGCGTGTGTGGGCAGAGCTCGCGCTGCCTCGTGGAGCTTGCACAAAACATGAAGCAATTACTGAGCTCAGATGTTTGTGTGCAAGGTGCCCGGTTCTTAGCTGTAAATCACAGCCCTTTGAAGCATTGCAAAGCTAAACACGTACCACTTTATTGCACTCTACAGGGCTCTTGAGTTTTCTGCAGTAATAAAGAGAAGTTGATGTGCCATCCGCAATAAAACAATAGGAACATTATTGAATTTCCTAGACCTTTCATATAAATACTAATACATCTAGTTTTGTCTCTTTCTCGCTGTTTTGGAATGGCTGAAGATTTGACAGAAAGGAGACAACTTGGGTGAAAACTAGCAATCTACAGAAAGGCCCAGATCATTAAAATCTCCTGAAACAGCCAGTGTGCTGGGTCATCAGCGTGAGCCTGGGAAGTGCCTGGTATTAATGTCCTATTGCAAATGCACAAATGATGGTAACAACCAGTAAACTTATTTTGAGACAAACCCCATGTGAACAGTCTTACACCATCCCTGCCAGCGTGATCCCGTGTTGGCTGCTGAGAGTAGTAGGATGTGGTTTCAGTTTATACCTATTATGGTTAAATACAAGTAGCCAGGGTAAAAAAAATCCTTAAAAGGGGCAAGTGGGGAAATTCTTTGATAGCTCACACACTGCAGCTGATGTGCATTTCCTTGACAGGTCTTATTGAGCCCCTTCTGCATAATTTATCAGCTTGCCATTGCTTGAAGTATTTCTCCTGATTAAATTTAGGACTTTGCTTTATTGTTGTGGAGCTACATAAATTTGTGTGCTGCAGGAGTGAAAAAATACTTCAGCTGTAGTTTCATCTGCAAACTACTGCAGTTAAGCAACATTCAGTGATTTCATTGCGAGTCTCAAATGAAAATTTTATTGGGGGAAAAGAGTAGGGGATTACAAAGCTGCAGAGATACAATGAAGAATTTATCTCTCTAAAGAATTTTCCTAACAAGTTACAGTTCTTGTAATTTAGTGTAGAGATGATTTAGGTGGCACAAGTGGAATGAAGAAAAAGCCCCAGCTCTTCTCAAATGCTACCCAGTGCAATGGGCGTGCGGTCCCACTGGGCACCGAAGAGGTTAAATCCGTGGGTAATCTGGAAAGCAGGCTCAATTACAGGGATAAAGGGGTTGCTTAAGCAGATGAGAATGAAAGCAGAAAAGAGGAGTGAAAGTTAAGAGCACAGGACCCCGTAATACCCTCCTGATGGGAGGGGACTGCTCTTTCTTGCTGGAGACCAAGGCAGGACCGTCCCTGCTGGTGCTTGGGTGCCTGGTGGCGCTGGCCCTGGGGCGCCGTGGGGGAGAGCGCAGCCTCCTCCAGCACCAACACGGAGCACGCAGGGCTGAAAATAAATACCTGTATGGGAAACTGCCTGCACCGGGGCGATCCTTCCCCGCTTGGTCTTTTGGGATGGTCTTCTCCTTTGTGGAATGTTGTCTGTGTTGGCTGCAGTGCCTTAGCGGGTGACCCGCAGAACACTGGGCTGCTTGTGCTGGCAGCGAGCAGTTAATATTTTCCCTGCTGTTTGCATGGGAGATGGGGAAACGTTGAGAGTAGTCTCTGCAGTTTGCTTGGCAGCGCTGCATGGTGTGTTGTGTAAAAGGCAGAAACTTTCCCTAGCTAAAAGTCAGTAGACTTTGAAAACAGGAATAATAGGTTGCCAATTCTCCAAGTGCTGCGGCAGTGAGGTGCTTTATCAGCATGCGGTAGTTACGGTGGGTTTTTATGGACACAAACTCCTGTTACTTAAGTCTCAGTTTACTTTCATTTATCAGCAACGCCCGGGGCTGGATCCCTTGCTGTAACGTGCTGCAGAGCTGGGCCAGAGGATGAACGTGGTGGTCGGCTCTGCAGCAGCCCTGCGGCTTGTGGACGTGTTTGCGAGGACCTAGATGTGTCTGTCCCTAGATGTGTCTGTCCCTAGATACACAGATGTATCTATGCACACAGATGTGTCTCTGCAGCCTCTTGGCTCTCCGAACTGGGCTACAGCCCCACTTCAGCCTTGTAAAATGATGGTTAATCCGGGAATGTTGCCCAGGCTGCTGCCAGCTCGGGCCCACCTGTGATTGTTGCTGGCCATGTTCTTAGGAGGGTGCCAGGCTCTTTTTTTCTTTTTTTTTTCTTTTTTTTTTCTTTTTTTTGTTGTTTTGTAATGGCCATTTCAGCCCCTTGACTTTTAGCCTTCCCTGGATGTTAGAATTTGCCTGCCTGCATTTGTATCTGCCGGCGTAGCCAAAGGCAGAATTGTAGGTTGAATGATGCACAGCTTACATAATTCGAGATCTGGTATGAAGCAGTTTGGAGCATATGCTCATTAAATTTGCATGAAATTATAGATTTTTTATTATTTTTGTTGGCTATGGCTTTTGACCAGCTTCTCTCTTTAACTGTAAACTACCCAGAAAACTCATGGGGCCTTTTCTTCCTTTCTCTCATCCTCAATAATGTTGCCATTTCTGCTATGATTTCTGTGGCCCGGTGCAGCCCATGGGCACTCCTACACCAGCAGCTTCTGCAGGGCCGACCTGCTCTGGTAGCCACTAGCCCAGTCCTCCCTCTGGCAGGTCGGCAGAGGCTGCCCGTGAAGGTGGGGTGAGGAAAGGGATCTCAGCAGTGACCGCCCCGCGTTGCTCGTGTGTGGACGCTGGGGACGGTGGCACTTGTTTCCACCAGAATGAGTGTTTTAAGCTTTTAAAGAAGCGTTTTAGCCACATGCTGGTGTGTGCACAGGGCCGTGAGGAGCCTGGGAGCCCCGCGGGCTGGGGGACGGATGCTCAGGGAGCCCTCGGGGACACATGCAGCGGGAATCCACTGCAATCCGGAGTAAGGCTGGGATCACTGGGAGAGCATGGGGAGACGGCAGAATAGCACCAGGCAGAGCAGATGTTGGTCGGAGCAAGGGCAGCACAAAGCTGGGAGGGGAGCTGGGGCCAGGAAGCGCAGCATTCCCGGTGACGGGCCTGGAACGGCGTGCGGGACCCGGCCTCGCGCTCCCTGCGCTCCCGGGAGAGCTGCAGCATCCCAACCCCTGCAGCATTCCAAGGTTTTACAAAGTTGTGTTGGTGGCGCCTCCGTTTTGTAGAGAATTCCATGGGAATTTCAAGCTGAAGGTCAGTTCTTCTGTGCAATACAGGGCCTCTGCATCCTGGGATATTTAACCTGATGCAGTGGGAGAGGTTTCTACCTCTGCATGGGATTTATTGTCATCTGAGCAACATCTGTTTGTGCCGCTTCCCCTTCTGCCTTTTTCAGGCCTGGAGCCCTGGGACTTTTGCACTTCCCTTTGCCATAACTAACACCAGCAAAGCCAATTAGCGTTAAACATTATATCCCAAGGAACTACTACTTTTTATCTCCTGCTAAATAAAACAAAGGAAAAATCAGCCAATTACAGTATTGATTTTTCTATTTCAAGTGCTACATTATCTCTCCCTTTCTCCTCACCACTTCTCCCTTTCTTGCTAAGATAATCATCTTCTGTAATGTCTTATTTTGTTTGTCTAATCTGTGCAGAAATTTCTTGTGAGTGTTTCAGTTTAGCTCCATCTGAAAGGTGAAGAGTGTCCATGAAGAGATTTTATCTAGGCCAAAAATGCAGATGGATCCGAGAGATCTAGCAGGCAAAATCAAATACACTTCTAGGAGAACTTTGGGAAGGGTGGTTCGAAAGCAAATATTGGCATTTGAGCATCCTTAATCACTGAGGACAGTGGTGAATATAATGGACAAAATGTTGTTGCACGGTGATTTTTTTGCTGCTTTTCTTTACGCAATTCTCATATTTATGCTCTTCCCCTGCCTGCCCATCACTATGGGGTGGCAGGAGCGTAGCTGAGCTCGGCCTGGCAGCTCCAGGAGTGTTTTGGGCCCTGTGCTTGTGCCGATCTGTGCCTCGGTTCCGAGGGAGGACGTGGCCAAGAGGGGAGGCTCGAGCTGGCCCTTATGGAGGTTAGAGGCTGGCCTCGGTGCTCATCCCGGCGAGCGTGCCCGTTCCTCTCCCCGCCGTGTTCCCGGGTGTTCCCGGGTGTTCCTGGATGTCCGTGCGCGGCCGTGTCCCGTGCGTGGGCCGCGGCGCTCCC